CAAAATCCTGGCTCCGCCCCTGCCTGGTCTGCATGGATTTCTTCGGGGTTACCCAGTTTTCTCCCATAGCTAAAACAAAACAAAAAACCCCACACAATGTAACCGGTATTGGCCCAAACATCCCAATACTGAAAAACGACCTGCCAATGACTCAATTGAGATTAGACACACCACCACCAGCAGCAGCAGCAGCAGGGACATCGCTTATCATTTGGCAGGACCCTCCTGAAGTATGAGTCGTCAGACTTGACGAGGTCTTTCCCTGAATGAACAAGCGTAGTAATAGTTCACGAATTTCGTTTACTATAAAAGAGGCGAATCTGTGCGCGCGTATGGTTTGTCTGCCAAAAATCCCCTCTTCTTTCTCTGCTAGAATACTCCACCAATTTCAACCACGCACGGTGTCACTTTAAAAGCTCGTGACATGCGAGCTTGCGTGACGGACAAGGTCGCCGTTACAAATGTACGACCTTACAATTTTGGCTAATTTGGCGTATCCTTCCGGCGCAAACTTATCAAATCTGCCGCTTATGAAAGGCCCGGCATGTGACGAGAGGTCCCCCATTAAAAAGCATACAAAGGATAGGCGTGCACAGCAGCGGAGGGATGAGTTGATGGGAGGTTTGGGGCAGCTAATGAATGGGGGGGGGGGGGGGGGGGGGCGAGAGGGGGGGTAGAGGAGATACCTATGAGCTATGAGCCCAACCAGGCGAGTTAAATAATTTTTTGTTCAAACGAAAATGTTACATTTTGCCGGGAAGGAAAAAAAACTCCCTTTGCAGTTGATTCTCAACGGGCTTCCCACCGTTATGGAGAACGGCGGACGGCGATCCAATCATTCCGAGTGCTACGCGCAAAGTTGAACAGTCACAGTCTGGGGCTGCGATTCTCAACAACCGATTCGTTCCATCGGGCTCGCATTGCCCCGTCTCTATTTGAGCCGTCCGGCCTTTGTTTCGCCTGGTCTCGTTTGCCGCCTTCGGTCTAAAAGTGTGACGATTAAATGGCCGCGGTTTGCGTGAACCATATAAGTCGTGATAAAAATGTATTTCAACTCGTAACGCTGAGCCGAGGAGGAACCACAGGCGAGTGGGAAGACAGCAGCAGCCAGGCGGTGAGCTGGCGCTACCCAATCTCTACGGTCCTCTGTACATGAAGGTGTTATTGGCCAACCAATGAGTGTTTGATTGGCGAGGGGGCAACGCTCTATCCCATACAGATGGAACAGGTGGAGTCTACATTTGCTGTACTGCCTTCTCCAGGCGAGACATGGTTATGGCTCCACCAACTCTCGCTGCTGCCTCCACAGTGCTGGATTACAGGCAGCCACGTGCAGAATCATAGCCGCCACCTCCACCCACGGCTCGTGCCATCATGCATCGAGAACTTGCGCGTCAAATGTCATCGTTACATGCCAATAAATTTCACTAAACGTCATCGTCAGCCATGATCAACGCACCGCTGAATGCAGGCCTCCCCAAGCTCCCGTCATCTCTCTACGACTTAAAAATCCACCTCTTCTTCCCACACACGAGCACGCACGAGCTCACCTCGTCGCGACATGCGCACGACGTACATACGTGTGCATGCACGTTGAACTTCTTTCACACCGTTCGCAGCCAACGTGGATGACAAAACGACTTTGATCACTTTTAAAATGAGACGGCCGGGTTATGAATTACATCTGCAAGTGGGCCGGTATATCCAATTAGGGATATTAATCACACCCGCCCCTACACCGCACCCCTCCTCGAATGGCAGGGTTGGGTTGGAGGGCTTAAGGTGGGGGGGAGCAAGTCACTATGAACATTACGCTAGCCCACTCAATGCAATTACATGGAGCTTTAATCGTTATTAAATGCGATTAGGGCCGCTCTGCACCGTGTCCGAATGAACGCGTGGAAGAAGGTGTGAATGGTACCCCCATGAATGGAACAATCAAGGACCGTGAGGCACAAACTGTGAAGAGTGCGTCACTGATGACTGCACCGATACAACAAGCATACTCTGGTGTAACGAGTGGACTAGTCCACTCAGCAACCCCGACACAACCACGCCTACTCTGGTGGAACGAGCGGACTGCTCCACTCAGCTACCCCGATACAACCACGCCTACTCTGGTGGAACGAGAGGACTAGTGCTAATGGGGGGGTGCTGCGGCGGAAGGACAACAAAAAATCAGTACAAATAAATGAGTTTTAAATGTAGATTATTTAAAAGTGCATGGCTCTAGTGGCTTCCTGATGTCGGAAGAGCATTCCAGACAGCCGCGGAAGCGCATCTGAAAGCGCCGCGCGATGCGGTGACCATCTTTAGACTGTGGGGAGATCATCGTGATTGGGCTTGGGGAGGCCTTGATCCAGCAGTCGATAGATCATAGACTGGTAATGACATGCACACAACAAGCTAATCAGTGGTGATCCCCCCCCCCCCCCCCACGTTATTCTATGAAGATCCATTGTCTCAATTCCATTCCAGGGATCGGTTCTTTGTTTGAAACGTTTGCGGTGAATTGTATAGCACCACGAGTGGCTCCACGTGCAGCAAAGATCCCCCATATAGCCTCAACAAAATGTTGGGGAAAGTGTCCCAAGCGCTGATATTTACATACCGCGCCCGGTACTCATTTAAGGCTGAGTCGAGCTAGGGGAGGAACAGGACCGGTTCAAATCTTCGTCAACGATGTTGGCCGTGAACGGGAATCGAACTTGGATAGCCCGGTTCGCAGGGGTAGTGCGCTAACCACAGCGCCGTACGCAGGGCAAATCCAACGTCAATTTTGATTTAAAGCTTTCATGACTGCAGGGATTCATATTCTTGGTTCTTTCGGTAAAGTCACGTAGAAGGGAAACAATAAAATAATAAAAATCTAAAACAATAGTGAGAATTTTATTGTGTTATATTTTTATTATTTTCTTGTTTCCCTTCTACGTGACTTTACCGAAAGAACCAAGAATACAAACGTCAATTCTTTCACTATTCCTCAGCCGCGAATCGTGAGCCTTGTGAATCGATCAATCGATGTTTTCGATGCATTGTTTCCCACCCATATTTTTGTAAGTACAGCGTCATTGAAAAACAATCAAAACAATAATGTTATGAACATCAATACAAATGCCGGTCATTACTATCACGAACAGTCCAGAGGTTGCTATGTCGTTGTATGTTGAACTTCTTTTGCGCCGTACGAAGCCAACCGTGCTAATCGGAGGTGGTTAGTTGGGTAGTAGCGGAGATGGACAATTTAGCAAACACCATTGTTGTGTTGTACTCTTCTATGCTCCCCATGTCTATCCATGGCTCCTCGCCATCACCAACTCGCACTCATCAACGTGGTAATGAAGTATGGTCAAACAACCCCCCCCCCCCACCAATGGATGAACACGAGGGTGTGATAATTTACCTCCAGCCCTTAAGCTTATCAATACAGTCCTTGCTGTTAAAACAGTAGCAGTACGAGGTAGCCATAATAAAGGTTTTTGTTGGGTTAGATCACGTAAATATAAATGTGTCGTTGACCGACCACCGCCACCCGACACGGCCAATTAGCAAGGTTTGTCACGTAAACAAAAAGTGCCAATTAGTGACTACTTGAGCACACACCGGTTGTGTGTTGGAGATTAAACCCACGACGTGTACAATGTGAGCACCGTGACCGTTTCGCTGGCGATTACAACAACCGGCTTCATCGGGCGGTTTGTCAGAATTGTGAGGACGTCTTCCCCGCATTGGTCTCGAAATAAGCCGCCGTGTTAAACTTAAGTACGAGGTAGCGATAAACGAGTTCTCGCTGCTGCCGTATACGAGGCGAAATCAATCAGAATTTAGGACGTTTTTCCAGTTGCGCTGTCATTCTTACGGCGCGAGGCTACGGCGAAGGAAGGCGCTGCTCCGTTATACGAACACAGTCTGCGGTAGTTTCGTGGTGGTTGGGGGGGGACGATGTTGTTAGGATTAATGTGTGGGAATTCTATCGCATTTGGCCAATTATTTGGCACGCGATGGTCTCACTCGTTCCCGGATGACGCCGTGAGACCATTGAACCGTCCGCTTTGAAGCTGACGGCGATCGGCGTATTATTTTTTTTGTTATGGCTCGGACGCCCGCGGAAATAACCGGGGCTGCCTACCAGATTCGAACCGCGAAACCTCTGCAACAAAGCGGCCCCGAACGTGCCCCGCCACTGCTGGGCCACGCTCATCATGGGCGGAGTTTGGGAGGGGGGGGCACGGGGGGCCAACGCCCCCCCCAAACTGGACACCTTTATTAATTTATTTTCAGTTGTTTACAATTAGGATAATAAATCAATGTAAGAGACAAAGCAAACCCCTGTCCCCCCCGCACTGCCCCCCATGACGCTCATGCCTCAAAGAGCAAAGGATGGCAGCCTTGAGCGGAAAATCGACATTCTCATGACGGGGCCCAGTCTATGCATGGGACAACGAGGCGTCGTGTTAAATAATGTTTTGTTTATATTCTTAGTTTTGACTTTACCGAAAAAACTAAGAATATGAATTACTGCAGTCACGAAAGCTTTAAATCAAAATGTTTTGTTTGTTTAGGAGATGCAATGCACGTGGTGACGAGGATGATGAAGAACGATGACGGATGATGATGATCACAGATGATAATGATGCAGACGCCCGTCACTCGACGATGGTGATGAGAAATGTCAACGTTGCTGACACATGATGATGGTGATGGTGGTGATGATGACGATGATGGTGGTGGTGGCGATGATGACGATGATGATGGTTATGACGAAGGTGGCGATTACGATAGCTGCTGATAGCGATGATGATGCTGGTGGTGATGATTGTATTAAGGATGGCGGCGGCGGTGATGCTACGTATAACCGTAATTATGAAGACGACGACGACGATCGTAATGACGATGACAAATTAATCTCACCCGCGCGCATTTAATGACAGACGAGCCCTTACTTATAAAGCCCCATCAGTGAACATCAATCAGCCCCTCCCGCACACTCTCTCACTCACCCTTGCCAAGAGACGCGAGCCGGCTTCCCGTGGCCGGTGTTGGGGCGGATTAATCCTCTGCGATCCGAGGCCTCTTTCCGATCTCCTCCGATCTCCCCGGCTGCCATCACCACCACCACCACCACCCGGGGCACGAGCGGAGTTCGCGCGGATCCGCCGCAACCGAGCATCCGCAGCGGCTGCGCCGGTGTGCCTTTAAGAATGACCATTTGCGATTGACTATACATTTCCAACAATGGCAAACGGTGACTGTGTGTATATATATAAAAAAATGCATATATTATAATAATAATTATACAATCTCTTTATAATATACACTAAACCACACTGCTGCCGTTTGATATACCAAGCGTGTATATGTGTGTACTGTATAAAATATTCGATAAAAAAATAAAATAAAAACAGCTGCTTATAGATTTATGTATAACCTTCCTTGCACACGTGTGCGTATATATAAACACGCACTCGCAGTTGAACGCAGACATCTCTCTCTCTCCGAATCGAGCTGTCATTCACAAAGCGGGGCGATATCAACAATCGGCGTAACACACGCCAGCGAGCTACGCTGCTACGTGCGACATTGAACAACACTAGAGAAAACAACACACACACAACAACACACACAACAACCACCGGGCATAGTGACGATGCCTATGGGAAGAGCGGAAAATCCATCCCTTCGCTGCGCCCGGAGAGAATCAGCGAACATTCACGCCGCTTGCTGCAGCTGCTGATGATGATGATGCTGATGATGATGTTGGTGGCGGTGATGCTGATGATGATGCTGTTGCTGATGATGTTGGTGGTGGCGGTGATGGTGATGATGGTAGCGGTGGTGGTACCGATGATGCTGCTGCTGATGATGTTGGTGGTGGTGGTGGTGATGATGATGTTGATGCTGATGATGTTGGTGGTGGCGGTGATGCTGATGATGATGGATGATGATGGCAGCGGAGGCAGTGGTGGTACCGATTATGATGCTGCTGATGAAGGCTTCCGTTTGTGAGCTTGTACCTCGGTTCGAACCGCGCTTGCAGCTATCTCATTATTCCGACCACCATCACCACCACCATCACCATCACCTCCTCCTACTCATCCTCCTCCTCCGCAGCGACGCGAGCGAGCGACTGAGTGAGCCACAGAGCCCGCGAGAGAGAGGGAGGGAGGGCAGCGAGCGAATGGCCGGGTGCCTTTTATTTATTTTGTTATTTAACTGGAAGCAATTATTTGGTTATTTAACTCGTAGCATTTTTTTTCACCTACCCCCCCCTCCTTTTACCACCCCCCACCCACTTACCCCCCACACCCCCCACCCTTTACCCACCCCTTACACCCCCACGCCCTACCCCTCCACCCCTACCCCTTACACCCCCCACCCCTACCCCCCACCCCTTACACCCCCACGCCCTACCCTTCCACCCCTACCCCTTACACCCCCCCACCCCTACCCCCCCAACCCATTACCCCCCCACGCCCTACCCCTTACACCCCCCCAGCCCTTACACCCCCCACCCCTACCCCTTACACCCCCACCCCTTACACCCCCCCACCTCTACCCCCCACCCCTTACACCCCCACGCCCCACCCACCACCACCCTCTCTTTTCCCCGAAGCGAACCCGCTGCGAGGCTGAAGGTGTTTGCTGTTGCTGCTGCTGCTGTTGTTTGGCTGTTGTTGTTGTTTGGCTGTTGTTGTTTGGCTGCTGCTGTTGTTGTTTGGCTGTTGTTGTTGTTTGGCTGTTGTTGTTGTTTGCTGCTGTTGTTGTTTGGCTGTTGTTGTTTGGCTGTTGTTGTTGTTTGCTGCTGCTGTTGTTGTTTGCTGCTGTTGTTGTTTGGCTGTTGTTGTTTGGCTGTTGTTGTTGTTTGCTGCTGCTGTTGTTGTTTGCTGCTGTTGTTGTTTGGCTGTTTCCTTTGCGGCGGTGGGTGGTTTTGTTTATTTATTTACTCTCGCGGTTTGGTGTGTTATGTGTTTGTGTGTACCTGTTGTGTGTTTGTTGTGTACGTGTGTTGTGTCCGTGTGTGTGTTTGTGTGTACGTGTGTTGTCTACGTGTGTTGTGTCCGTGTGTGTGTTTGGTACGTGTGTGTTTGTTGTGTACGTGTGTATGTTTGTTGTGTACGTGTGTATGTTTGTTGTGTACGTGTGTATGTTGTGTACGTGTGTGTGTTTGTTGTGTCCGTGTGTGTGTTTGGTACGTGTGTTTGTTGTGTACGTGTGTATGTTTGTTGTGTACGTGTGTATGTTTGTTGTGTACGTGTGTATGTTGTGTACGTGTGTGTGTGTGTTCTGTACGTGTGTGTGTTTGATACATGTGTTTGTTGTGTACGTGTGTATGTTTGTTGTGTACGTGTGTATGTTGTGTACGTATGTGTGTGTGTGTTCTGTACGTGTGTGTGTTTGATACATGTGTTTGTTGTGTACGTGTGTATGTTTGTTGTGTACGTGTGTATGTTGTGTCCGTGTGTGTGTTGTGTACGTGTGTGTGTTTGTTGTGTACGTGTGTTTGTTTGTTGTGTACGTGTGTTTGGCACGTGTGTGTTGTGTACGTGTGTGTTGTGTACGTGTTTGTGTTTGTTGTGTTTGGTGTGTATTTGTTGTGTACGTGTTTGTGTTTGGTGTGTGTGTTTGTTGTGTACGTGTTTGTGTTTGAGAGGAAGATGTTTAGTAAGGGTGTGTGTGTGGTGTCACAGTGTGAGAGGGGTGCTAGCTAGCAGCACTTGCCCCAACAGTCAGCTAAGGCTATACGGGAGATCTTTGTCTTTGTACTCGGTATGGTGTGTCGCAAACATCGCCACTAGGGGAGACAAAGGCGGCCGTGCGTGGTGCTGGCCACCCACCCCCTCGTGTGCCACAGTGTCGGCCTTCATAGGTGCTGCGACTCGCTACTCACAGCACTTGCCCCAACAGTCTGTTAAGGCTACACGGCGGGGAGTTCTTTGTCTCTGTATGGTATTTGTGTGTATATCTGTGTATTTGTGTAAAGGGCCGTCCATAAATGACGTCACGCGATTTTGGACGATGTTTGACCCCCCCCCCTCGTCACACGGCGTCATAAAAAGTCAGCCCCCCCCCACTCAAATATGACGTCACAAAGCTCTGCCCCCCCCCCGCCCACCCAAAACCATATTTCCATTTTGAAAATAAAACATGCTTCAAATCGCTTTAAACTACTGTCATCGTAGTGCGTATTTAATGTGGCGCTGCACTCTGATGTTGTAGGAGTGTTGTTATAACAATTAGTGTTGTTATAACAATTCTAGATTTATTTAAAGTCGCGCATTTTGATGTGACGTCACATTTCTCACCACCCCCCCCTCTCGTCACACATCGTCACAAAAATCTGACCCCACCCCCCCCTAGGTGCGTGACGTCATTTATGGACGGCCCCCTAAGAGTGGGTCTGTGTATCTATGCGCGCGTATATCTTTGAGTGGCCTCAAAATGCACCTAGCCTGGCACAATTGACCCGGTCACGGCACCGCCTCTTAGTAGCGAATGGCCGTTGTTCACGTGTGCATTAGTGCAAATTATCAGCCATACTTCACCTCGCCGGGTCAGTGTGGTTAAGCGAAGGTGAAGCATAGAAGCGCAGTCCAACAATGGGCATCTCATTAAATTCCCAGAGAAGATCCATCCATCCAACAACAACAACAAGAACATCATCTCCTGACACCCCAAATCTCTGTCTCTCTTCGGTGAAAGCGTCGAAATCATTTGCTGCATTTTGTCATTTGGCGGCGTTGCCATTCATGTAAGCACACAGGGCCCTGCTGCTCACGAAGGGAAGACGCTGCTCCTGCTGCTGTGTTTCACACAGACACAGCCTGCAAGTGGTTCCATAGTACGGGAAGGGGGGGAAGGCGATGCTACAATAGTGTATCCCCCACCCCCCATCCCAAACGAAGTCATTTGGAGAGCAAATTTTTCAGATCTGTCAAAGGGTTGGTACGTAAATGGGCCTACTGGTTTCGATTGATGTCGCGGGATCTCTCACGTCATGTTGTATATTAGGGTTGTAGTATTAATCGGGGCGGCCTGCCGGGTCGAACCGCGCGAAGAACCGCTGGGCCGTGAAATATGATCAAACAACCCCAACACGACCTATGTACGTATGTGTGTGTGTGTGCACTGTACGTTGAACTTCTTTTGCACCGTACGTAGCCAACCGTGCTAATCGGAGGTGCGGGGAAGGACCTCTGCTTTTGGTTACCTTCTTTTGTTGCTTTAAACATACACGTCTATCTGAACCTCACGAGTAACTCAAAGTAACTCGATACATTAGTCAACATCACTGTGGCCTTACGAGGAAAAAAAGTATATCGATATAACAGGCGACGTTTCAGTCAATGGCCCTCCTCACCCGTGTCAATGGCGTAGTGTTGGTTGGCATGGGAATGTAATGGGTCACCCCCCCACCCACCTATCCGATCCCCCCACCATCTCTACAGCCCCCCCTTCCGGATCCTGGCGCAGTTGCACCGCCTGCACACTCGATAGCAACGCCGCTGCCACAGTGTATTGATTTTGTCTGCCTTATCGATTTGTGTTGGCATGTGTTGTTTAACCCATCATATCCGTGCTACCGTCGCTTGTTATGCTGCTATGGCTATGACCGGGCCATTATTCTCCTTATCTTGTACCTGATGCGGTGTGTAAACATCGCTACTAGGGAGACAAAGGCGGCCTGGCGCGATGCTGGCCACCCACTCCTTCGTGCGTGATGTGCCGGCATTCATAGGGTGACAGCACTTGCTCCTACAGTCTGTTACAGGCTATACGGGGGGATCTTGTCTCATCTTGTGTTTAACTGTTGGCTGTACCCCCCACAATCCTTTCGTCTTGTGTCTGCAGGAGGCGGCCATGCAGGCAGAGTCATCGATAGGGCGGCACCAAAGGGGCCGTCCATAAATGACGTCACGCGATTTTGGACGATTTTTGACCCCCCGCCCCCTCGTCACACGGCGTCACAAAAAGTCAGACCCGCCCCTCAAATATGACGTCACAAAGCTCTGCCCCCCCCCCCAAAAAAAATAAAACATGCTTCAAATCGCTTTAAACTATTGTCATTGTAGTGCGTATTTAATGTGGCGCTGCACTCTGATGTTGTAGGAGAAAACATTTATTAAAAAGTCTATTTAATTAAGTAGAACGTGTTGTCTATATTAATTTAAAGTTGCGCGTTTTGATGTGACGTCACATTTCTCAAACCACCCCCCCCCTCGTCACACATCGTCACAAATGTCTGAACCCCCTCCCCCCCTAGGTGCGTGACGTCATTTATGGACGGCCCAAAAGCAATACTAAACGAAACAATTTTTTTTTATTTTATCAGCTCAACGAAGTGACTATCACGTGGAAAGTTATAGCAGCGGCCAAATACTCTAATAATAACAACAAGAATATAACCAACTACTGCAGCAATTGGATAAGGGATGGGGTAAATAAGGATTATAATAAAAATAATACAGTCACGGCCAACTCATCTGTTAATCCAGTGATGGATGGATGCCCCTCCACACTGTGTCAGTCATGGGGTGGGGGGGGGGGCTTTTTTACCATACTTCACCACGCTGGTCAGTGCGGGTTGGTGAATGGGGCAGGACCGCTGCTGAGATATAATTCCCTCACGGATGTTAGCCGTGGCCAGAACATCGAGCCGGGGTCGTCGCCGGCTTTCGTGACCCAAGTGCGCTATCCACTGCGCCGCCGCTCCACCACCTAGCGATTATGAGCGACAATAAGTAATCTTTTAAAAATACTTTTTTTAAAAACACGCTTTAATGAAATGTACCGTACTAGTAATGGAAGAACTCCACGACTCCAGGAAGCGGCCCCGAGGCTTGCCACAACGTAAGGGGGCCGTTGGTGATTTACAGCCAAAGTCAGTTGAGCGTGGACAATTAGAACCAAGCCGAAACATAACATAAAAAAATGTTTAAAAATATATTTTTTTATAATATCATATAGTATTGTCATCAGTATGACATAAGTATACCAAGTTTGCAGTCGATGCCACATTGGGAAGTGGGTTAACATTGAGTTACAATATTTGAGGATACAACAACGACAACAACAGAGTGAGTTAATAGAAAGCGTGTAATAATAAAAGAGGCTCATCCACGTCGTGCGGGTCAAGGGGGCTTCATCTGCAACGCCGCTGGTGTGGTGTCTCCAATTATATGGCTCA